AAAAAAAAAAAAAACAGAAAGAACGTGAGACGCCAGAAGTGATTCAAGGGGCAATAATTGAAGTTGTTGAAAAAAGAAGCATCAATCAGGGCTACAGCCAGTGCCCAAGGAAATGCAAAATTGCATTTGGCTAAACTCGCTTCAAAATATAAAAAAGACAATGTAGTGTATTCACTGCATGTGGGTAACAGGAAAGTTTTTACTACAGAAATGGAGACAGAATTAACATTGTATTTAATGCAAGCATCATCAATGAGGACAAAATCTAAAAAGCAGCTGTTGCAACATATTCCAGAAGAAACTGAAAGTGAAGATGAAAGATCTCAAAGCAGCTCTTCCTCAACGTCTGATGCAACATCGAGTGAGGGATCTGATATCAAAAACACTGTCAAACATGTTCAGCCCAATGATTTCATTTTAGTCAGATTTGCAAAAAAACTTTTGTTTACTTTGTGGGAAAAGTTTTGAAGAAACTGAGTGATGAAGACTTGAAAGTCAAGTTTATGAATAAATATTGGGATGTTTCAAGTTTATATTTCCTGAGGAGGATGATATCAGTGATGTTTTAAAACTACCCCATCCATCCCAAGCAGGAGGAACGGCAAGAGCAAGCAAACATTACATTTCCCACCGATTTCACTTCATATCAGCTGGGATAAATTGCGAAAAACATTCTATTGACCAAAGAAAGACAGTTTAATTATGTGATAGCCTACTGATTGTGATATTCTTTAGTTATTGTTCTTTGTTTGAAAAGATTTGATATTCTTTGTTTTAAAAATATTGATAATTTTTAACTGTTTAAAATAATTGTGATGTCACAAAATTCATATTATTAAAACTGTAATTTTTAAAAATTTTAGTCTCTAGTTTATCACTTTTCAGTTATAATGAAATTTGAAAACATTGAGATAACTAATTCCAAGTTTTACATTAAAACGCGGGTAGTCCCTTTCATCCCCGAGGGTGTCCCTTTCAACCCAGATGTGGGAATGAAAGGGACACCTGGAGAGGTCTTTAAAAATGTGAAAATGTTCAACTACCAATATAATAGGATGAATTCACAATATGGTCAGAATAAAGTAAAGGTCTAATGAATCTTTTGCACTAAAAATAAAACTGATTAGAAGTGAACTTTTTCAGTGAAAAATAAAAATATGTATTTTGTCCCTTTCATCCCCACCCTCCCCTATCGAGATGTTTTATGAAAACGGAAGAAATTGAGAAGTTTTCTAAATATTAAAATTATTTATAATTTTAATTTACTCGAGAAATTTTTGATCTGAAAATAATTTATAACCTGAAAAATTGATTTTTTACGTTATAAATAATAAAAGTTAATAAGGTTATAGAAAATAATTCTTCCAAACATTCACGAGACATTGTTCTAACTACTCAGTGGTCTCACAACTGAACGACACGACGGCACACACGTTAAGGTCGGCCTGCGTAGTCTGACACTGTGTAGAAAAATCAAATAGTTTTTCGATTCTACTCCGATGGTCGGTACAGTTCGCCAAAACTGTTTTTCCCCACACACTATCAGGAATTACTCAAGGTCAGGCATGCATGGTTTTTTTTAACTCTTTCCGCCCTGTGGGCACTAAGAGGGCCTCGTTTTGCAAGCCCATTATGGGTTCGGCCAGGCCCACAATGGGGCTGCCGGATGGTGGGGGACGGGGCCCGACATATTTGAACGGACCACCCCCGAAAAATTCCTGGGGATTTTCGACCCGTTCGGTTTCGAGCTCGGGTCCCCCAGGGCGGTAGGTTGTCACCTTGACCGCTCGGCCATCCGGCCGCAACCATGCATGGTTAATCCTTTGAGGATTAACTTAACGTGTATGGCCGCCTTTACCTGCTAATTGTTATCTATTTTAAAGCATTAGCTAATGGAGAGTATTAAAATATTATTTCTATTAAATTTAACTTTAACAGAACTAACACTATCAAATGCCAGCAATTTGTTTTTCTTCAGTTTTATATATATATATATTCAATATTCATTAACACTATTTTGCCATTTGCTTTGAATCTTCTTTAAAACAATTTTCTGGCCAAGCAATGGGGATGCGCTCAAGAAAGGTGGCCCAAAAAGAGTGCCAAGTTTCTGCGTAAAATCTAGACCCTTGTAGTCGGCATTGCTTTTGGCAATGCCGACTACAAGGGTCTAAATGTGGACAGACTGGTCATCGAACACATCCAGCTCAACAGAACACTCAAGTTGAAGAGAAGAACTTACAGAGTCCATAGACGCACCAACCTTTGTTCCACCATCTGCTGTGCGTGGTTCTCTATTCGGTATATTCGCCTTCGTCGGCTAACGATCATCAACTATATACTGTACTTCACAATGGATTTGAATATTACACCAAAATAATATTGACACCATTGTTGTATGTAGTTTCAATTTGTCACATTCAGTTTTTAATCTATCGTTTTTCTTTTTATAAACATTGTATTCTTATTTCCTAATTTAATTTCTTAAAATGTTTGATTTTTTAAAACTGTTTTCGCCCTGTGGGCACTAAGAGGAAATTTTTAGCAAGCCCATTACGGGTTCTGCCAGACACATAATGGGGTGGTGAGGTCAGGCCCAAAGGATCACTTTCCGAATAATTCCCTCGGTTTTATTTTTTTATCTGTCCAGATTATATTTAATCTAGACAGATTAAAAAAAAACAAAACCCAGGGAATTATTCCGGGTCCCAGAGGGGTTTAACGCTATCCTAACCGTCAGGCTATCCGGCCGTTTCAACATGGAGGGTGTCTAAATATTGTTGACAAAATATGAAAGAGGAGATGGTCAAAAAGGACTTAAGTGATGGAAGTCATTCAAATATAATGAGGTGAAATTTTTTTTTAACTTTTTCTGCCCTGTGGGAACAAAGAGGGCCTCTTTTTGCAAGCCATTATGGGTTCGGCCAGGCCCACAATGGGGCTGCCGATGGTGAGGAGCGGGGCCCGACATATCCGAACGGACCACCCCTGAAAAATTCTTAGGGATTTTTCGATCCGTTCGGATTCGAACCCGGGTATCCCAGAGCGGTAGGCTGCCACCTTGACCGCTCGGCCATACGGCCAGATGAGGTGACATTATATTTGAATGACTCTTATCTAGTAATAGACATCAATCTTTCTATTACATTTATACATGTTTTAATTAACAACGCTAAAATATAAAGGTGACTGAATATTACAGTTAATAAATTGTTAAATGTTAATTCAAATTTCTTTTTAGATTTTTTTTATTTATTTTATATACTAAAAACAGATTTTTAACATCTGGAAGCGACGCTAAACGACAAGAAAGGGAACTAATGTTGCTGTAAGATTGCGGTGTTGATTCACTTGACAACAAGGCTTGGATGTGTGTAGAGTTTCTTTTCATTTTATAAAGGATAAAATGAGTAAGAATCCAGGTAAAAACAAGTTAAATCTGAAATTACCGCCAGGATCCATCGAGCCAATCGATCAAACGGGTGCTGGAGATGCAAATAATGAGTAAGTGAATTTAAACAATGATTAGAATTTCTTATCAATTGGTTCAAGACAAATTTTAATTGCTCCTTTATGATTAAAAATAGTGATAATTGCAATAATATAAATGAATAAGGTATTCACGTGCTCATAAAATCCAAGTAGATTTGTATCACAAGTGAAATTGACAAGAAAATTTGAAAAATTTGTCAATTTCAAAAACATTAAAGCACTTTATAAGCTCAGATTTTTGCTTTTATATCCTGTATTTTGTATCATTTTTATATAATAATTAATGTAAAATTAATTCTAAATATGCCTCTTTTTAATGCTTAAAAGTTTAAGTTTAAACCTAAATTTTATATTTAGAAAATATATAAATATATATGTACTTTCCAATATAAAATTTAGAAAGCAAAATACATTTTTTGAAAGAAAAAGTAAGTAAATGTATAATGATCTGATCAAATTAGAAAACAATATTAGAATGAATGGCACTGTATTTGTTTTCTGTGAAATATTGTCTACAATATAACATTTATTAATCTATATTTTTCTTCTAATTCTTGCCTAATTGTAAATTATGGTGGCCAAAGCTGTTGGTCTGTCGCATTTTGTCTGCAACCCGTTTCCGAATTAGGGTCAATTCTTTTAAATTTTCGCGAGCGGTCCGATCCGAATGCGTCGGATCCCATTTTTCGTTGCTTAACCGTCTCGTTATGAGCTCGGCTAAACTTGTGACAGACGCAAAGAAAGCTTATTATTTGCAGGATGGAAAGCTTTAAAAGAAATTTTGAATTGCACTTTTGTTTTTTAATGTTCCAGAATGATTTCCTCTTTTAAAAGGAAGTTTACTCATTTCTCTCTATCATGTCATAAATTTAATATTTTTAAAGTAGATCAATTACTTTAAAGATTTTAAGATATCTTTAACTTAAATATTTTTATCTCCAAAGAAAAATATTTATTATAAAAGTTATTTTTTTCTAATAACACACCTTGGCAAATTTTTTGAAATCATTTTGCTGCTTTAAATAATGTTTTTAATTTTTTTCTTGCAGTTATATATTTTATGTAGATAAAAATTAAAATTTTTACGTTTAATCGGCTTTGTTTTAGTGTATAAATTGCTCTTAGTTTACATTCTGTACTTGTTTGTAACTTTTAATTAACAGCCAACATTTATTATTTCTCATCTGATTTTGAATAATACAGTTTGCTAATTAGAAGGCTCTAGTTTTTATAATACTGTAGCAAATTGCATGACAAGATTTCTTCTTTGATAATGATGTAATTAATTCTTTCTTATGTTGTTTTCTAAAGTTTAGATTAAAAGTATTTTTATGTGATAGTGATTTAGTCTTTCTTCTTTTTCTCCTCTTTATATATATAATCAGCAATTTTTTATGTTCTAGAATATTAGAATGCATTAATGTTCAAGTATTAGTGAAGACAAGTCATTTGTGGGACTTCAAATATTCATATAATAAACAAGCAGTTTCATCTTTATAAAAGTTCTATATTAATTACAAGTTAATTCTTCTATTAAATAGCAAAATAACTTTTAAAATAAATAAAATCAATTGATCATAAAGTGAAATTGCCGAGTTCTTTAATTAAACTTAATGCAAGTCTGTGATTTAAAGGAAAATGATTATATAAATGTAAATATGAAATAAAAGCATAAGAACAAACTTGTAGTATTGATAATTAATTATTTTATTCATTTTATGAGGTAAATTTCTAATTTTTCTGATGGAATTTTTTATATATACTTGATCTTTTGGGCATAGGAGAACATATCTGTTTATATAAATATGAATATAAATGTCCACATGTATAAAGGTATATTTTTAATATCTAGAATGTTCATATGTTAATGACCTAATTAATTCTTAAGTGTCAAATTTTGTTAATTCTTTGTCTTTGAGACAGCAAGACAGCATCTTTTTGTGTCCAGTATGGATTTGGCCAATCCTACAATTAAATGGCCAGGTGGTGAGGGAGGGGACCCCTGACATATCTAGGTCAAACTACTGAAATTTATGAAGACCAACTGAGATTTTTAACACTGGTCCCTTAGTGTAGCAGACTGACATCTTTACTGGATGTTGCTATTCAGCTGCAATAACATCTATGTTAATTTAGCTACCCAAAATTACTTATGAAATATTTTTATGTACTTTAAATTATATTTGTATTTACAATGAATATAAGATAATAGTATAATGTTAGTTGTCATTGTCTAGGTAAAAAAATGGAAAATAAATTAAAGTTTTGAATCTGGAATTATTCTTGATGTCAACCTGTAGTCTGCTGTAAAACATTCAGATTATTTTCTTCATAATCTTAATTATTAAATCTTTTATAATATTAAACATAAATGTTAGATTTATTCAGAGAATGGTAAAACTTGAATAAAATGTGGACACAAGTGAATGAACAAATGGAAAATGTGACATTTTTGCTTGTATTGAGAGGAAACAATGCTTTGTTTCACAATATGTTATATGTGTGACTGTCCTTGGTTTTGTTTGCAGGGTGGATGTATGTTACCTCATGAATCGAGTTAAACTAGAATATCTCATAACAATGAATAATAAACTTTTATTCTGAAATTATTTCCTATGTTGACGTAATTGAAGCAAATAATAATGTGTAACCCTTAAAATATTCAAATTACTTATAGTAAGTTACATTGACTTTAATTTTAATTATTTTCTATAAAATTTCTTCATAGAAGTTTTAGTAATAAAAGGAAGTTTTTACACAATTTATAGTTTTATTTTTGTACATAAAATTAAAATGAGATTGAATTATACTAAAAAACTTCACTACTGGAAATTATAAAGTAGATACAGACATAAAAATAAACACAACAAACACCTAAAATACCAGCGAGAATATTAGACACGTGTTCAACAGTTTAATATTCTTGTTGGTATTTTAGGTGTTTGTTGTGTTGATTTTGATATAGACATATTTACTTCATTTTCGTGAGTATAAAAAATTGTTTTTATAATTTTTATATCTTTAATTATATATTTTTTGAAGTTGAGTCTCAGTATCAGCCAACTCCTCTGATATTACAGTATTTGAGACTATTAAATCTGGCTTAAAAGTGCAAAACATTTATTTAAAAAACTAATTTTAAGGCATGTTGGAAAGATATATTGTACAGTACATTTATGTAAAGTAATGGTTTTAGCAATATAATTAATTTAATAATAATTCCTTCTAGAAATTACAAAGTATTTAACTATATTATTAAATTTGGATATTTTTTCATTCATATGATTTCTAAGAATTTTAAAAGATTATATTTAAATATCCCAAATAGTTCTTGAAATAAATTCTAATTAGGATTTAAAGCAGTTAGTCTCAATATTTCTGAGGCTGTGGAACAACATTCATAGACTTTTTATTATGTGGAGCATTAGCATCAATATGTTTAAAAAGTGATGAGAAATTCAATGTTTTCTGTTCTTATGAAACAACAAAGCAACAAACAACTTAGTAAATTTTAAATATATTATGCTGTTGTTTTTTATAATGATGGAAACAATGTTTTTTGGACTATTTGGAAAAATCAGAATGTTTGAGGAATTAAACAAGAAAAAGATTGTTTTGGAATGCTGGCATTAAGTTTGATATTCTATCTTCAAACAAAATGTATATAAAATTTCTTGTATGATTTGAATGAAACTGAGTTTGTTAATTAGCTTGATGTGAAGGTGTGCTTTGAAAGGACCTGAACTTATTCACATTATGGGACTTGCACACAGAATACTCTTTGTTAACAGGTAAAGAAGAGTGGAGTGAGATCTTAAATTTTACTGATGTGATACAAAATGCAAAGATAAAGGTAAATCAAGAAGAGACTAAAAAGAAAGATCAGAATAAACAAGAGAGAAGATTAATTTAAACTGAGGAAGAAACAATTTAATTCTTCTGAAAAAAAAAAAAACAACTTATTCATTCATGCGTGAAATATATAGAAAAGGTATAGTTTTGACTCCAAATTTCTAGACATTCCATAACATCACAATTATTTATGCTATCGCACATAACCAGAAAGAGTAATTTCAGTTTTCCAAGTAATAATTTCTTGATTCATTAAACACAAAATATATATATTAGATACGTTTTTGCTTCATATATTATAAAGAAAAGAGAGTAAAATTAATGATAGGATGTTGATAATTGTTTAAGACATACTAAGATTTCCTTTCTAATACGTGCAGCATGTATGCTATTTAGATAAGATAATTTAATCCAGGTTTACATTCTGTAACAAATGTGTACTATGTTAAGATTATTAAAATCATGGGTTTTTTTTCCTTTTGTATTGATTAACTTTTATGTTTATGTGCATATTTTAGTCTGCGATTTGCATGAGAAAATATATATAAGTTATATGAGAGAATAGTAAATTTATAATGTCATTAAAGTTATATGCATAGCATTGTGTACAAAATCTGTAAATTGTATGTTTTGTGTTTCCATTTTGTTGTAGATGGCATTATTGCTTGCTCACAGATGTTACACTTTTTGGAAGAGTTCTTTGCCGATTGCATAATCTCCTGTGGAATCTGACTTGTTAGGTGTCCAGACCTCATTCCCTTGGATTTTTATGCTTCCGGGAGACATTTCTGACATTTGCGTAGGAGAAATTGCAATATCATACATAAAAACTTAAATCTTTTCCTCTGTACAGTAACTTCTTGGACACCCTCTATTACTCCCATATTTAATTTATCTCATCTAAAATCAGCATAAAATTACAATAAATATATTATTTTAATTACAGTATATTTAATACTTTTATTATTAAACTTAACTTCATAAAATCTTATAAGAGAAAAAATTAAATCTGTTATTTTTCTTCAGGCTCTAAATATTTAACTTAAACCATACATTCTGAATAACTACATATCTCTGTACTTAAATCAAAGAATATTTGGTTTAATAATCTTTTCCACGTAATGATCATTTATGTTTTGTAATTAAGTAAACAATACTTAGAAGTGTTAAGATAAGTCATTTATTTTTAAAATAGTATGTTTTGGTGATTCACCTAATGTATATAATGTGTTGCTTTAATATGGAATTTATTTAATTAAATGTTCTAATGATAGTCTATATTTTAAAAATATAAAATAATACAGTCAGGTTTTAATTTACTTTTATTTTAAAAAGTATTTAAGTTGAAATAGCAAAAAAAAACTTTTTAAATAGCTGTTAGGCAATCATTTAAAGACTGTTAAGTAGTAATGAATACTTACTTATCTTAATGTTTTAGCATGTCATTTAATTGACAACTGTTTGAAATGTTGTTTGGTTTTATTTTGTAATTAATATTTGCTTAGATAGCAAATAAGTCAAAGGTATTTGTTACTTGATAGTAGACAAGATAATAAATATTAATTCATGACCATATTATTTATTAGGTAAATATTTATTGTGTATAGGTCAAGATGCATGCTTCACAATTATACATTTAATATATTGAAAGTCTTTATACAAGTATTAAAGAGCATTAAATTTAAATTAATATCAGTAATTAATAAACATTTTTAATTTATTGTTCTTGAAAATAGATTATTTTGATAGTTGTAGAATGCATATGTACTGTATGTATTTTAATTTTTAAAACATGTTAACAAATCGGTTATTTTACATAATTATTCCTTATGAAAAGCAAATATTAAGAAAAATATTTCAAAAACTTTTGTAAGTTAATGATAGGGGAAAGTGATGACATTCAAAAGTTTTTTACTTAGGAGTTTTTCTTTGGTAAAGATAAGCTTGGCACTTTGAAGTGGTATAAAACCCACAAGAACACTATTGTTTTCTATATTTTGCTTTAAAGTGCCAAGCTTATCTTTACAAAAGAAAAACTCCTAAGAAAAAAAATTTGAATGTCATCTAGATCACAGGAGAACATTTCAGAAGAGCCACAGGCTAAAAATCAACTTTTGGAAGCCAGAATAAACTCTAGGCACCACAGTCAGAATAAAATATTAAAATTATACTAAATATGGTTAAATTTCAACAAGTAAAATTTTAGAGAAATGTATACATTATTAAAATGTAGCGAGAGGGGTCGAATTCAAATGAATATTTTACTCGTTATTAGCATTTACAACTTTTTTTTAAAATAAAACTTTAAAAAATTCTTTTAATTAACTGCAAAACACACTGGGATGAATATAAAAAATGCAACTCACATTATTTACACTGGGTAATTGGTTAATGTAAGTTGCACTTTTTAAATTCCTTTAAGTTTAACTTTCAACAAATTTATTCTGAGTGCATTTTTAAATATTTAGAAGGCAATTTAATATCAGATTTAAGAAGTAGAAAATATATAGCAATAATTAACGTGAAATAAATAAATCTACAGGATAGTACAAAAGTCAGTTGACATTTTAAAACCCTTAAAATAAGCTTAAAAATATATAATGGTTGACTTTTAAGCTGTCTTGTAGATACTGTAGACATCATTTCTGTTTATCTGATGCTCAATAAATATATTCTGAATGTTTCAATGTCATTTTCAGAGTATTTATTCATTTCCAATAACATAATATTTTGAATTTTTAAAGTAATTTTTGATGGATTTAAATATTCTAAAAATACAAACAAATACCAAATTTTCTTTCATAACATTTAAATTGCAGTCAATAGCATTTAAGTTTTGTTGATGTTTAGAAATACGTAAAGTGGTACAGTGTCTTATACTTCATTCATCATATTTAAAATTTTTCAAAGTTTGATGACAAAAACATTTAGTTTTATTCTGTAAATGTAAAACATAATAAGTTTAAATTACACTCATTGCCATAAAAATTAGCACACTGAGAAGGAGTTGTCTGAATCGAATGAAATTGTACATGTGTGAGAGTGATGGTGATATAAGTAAGTAATTACAAACTTAAAAGGATCATTTATTGCAAGAAAAACTACAAATGAAATGAGGTTCTAATACTCTATTGGACCACCTCTATAGCATGAATACAAGATGTGATACTAGTGGGCATGGAGGTATACAGGTGNTGACGATTTTTTTTTTTTTTTTTGTTTTTGCTTGTACGATTCATTCGTGTTAATATCCACCGCTAATATCCAATATAGCTATTTTGAACAGGTCGCTGCACTACCTCAAATTTTCATTGCTTGTTCTGTGACAAACTGAATTTTGGTCTTATAAATTGAAATACCTAAAGGGGCGCCGGAATTTTCCTCCGCCCCGGGCGGCTGACACCCACGGTACGCCACTGGTTTTATTTGTTATATGTACAGGTAACCCCCGTATAACATGGCACTTCTATAGCACGGATTCACTCTAACACGGTTTGGGAATTGGGTAAAATCCTCGTACAACATGAAATGTAATAAAGGGTGCATTCTTTTATACTTCCGCGTAACTCAGCGCGAGCATTCTAATTGTTTTCGTGGCTACTTTGAATGCTCTTTCAACAATAATCCATTTAATGGTTAAATTTTACAATTGGGACCCTTCTTTTGCCTCCAAAAGCTTATTTTAGAATTATAGATTCCTCCAACACGATACTATTGATAGTGCAGGCACCACCATCTTTCTTTCACCGTTGTTCCTAAATGCCTACGAACAGCAGCGCACTCCCATTGCAGAGCGATCTCTATTAACGAATGCACCCAAAAACTTACCAGTTGATGATGCTCATGCTGAGATTATCATATAGGATGAATAATCCTCTGGTAAAATATTTACTTAAATAATAAATAAGTATTTTACCTATGAAAAGAATGAATAATAAATGTGATTTAAATAAGGATTTAACATGTTTTTTAATTTTTGGAACCTAACCCCCCCTTTTCACACTAGTTCTTTGTTTTGTATAACACGGATTCGCATAACATGGCAATTTTTTGGAACATAACTCCCGTGTTATACGGGGGTTACCTGTACATTTGTTTATTGTAAACAAAGACATGTCAAACCTTGCACATGTATGCAGTGTGTCATTTTAATTTTTAATTGAAGGATGTTTACTATTAAAATACTGGCCTATTGCACATAGATGTATCATGAAACTTCAAATTAGCATCATCTATGATGTATGTTTTGATCAGCTGCTGACCAAATGCTTTCAATATGCTGTTAGTAAAATTGTTTGCTTAATTGTGAGTTTTTGTTACTATTGATAACATTTTAAATAAAAGTAATTTTTTTCCAAAGCAATTTTATTCTTATAAGCATAAAAAAAGGTAAAACAGCTCTATGGAAAACCCATGTAAACTTTGACCTATCAACCTGGAAGTATTTTGTGAGAATCTTACTGATAACAAGATAAGCTTAAGTTTAAAATTTGAGCTTTCTAGACCCGTTGGTTATTTTTCTCTATGAGCCTCTCTAGTGCTAGATAAAGAAAAAGAAGAAATACAGCTTTTTTTGGTGATTTTTACACTTTTTGATGGATTATATTTCAGCAACCCTGTTATAATAAAAATCTGAATTTTTGCAGACTGCCTAAGAAAACAATTAACTTTCAAATGAGATATCTAGAATTACTTTAGGCATTTGAGGGGCAGAGAAATCAACTCCTGAAAATCAACAACTTTAATTTTTGTTCATATAGTCAGTCAGTGGTGTTTTACTTTGTGCGGAGTAACTGCCGTAACTCTTTATAAATATTTTAAAGTGTTTTCACTCTTATGCAATGACTGTTACAGAGATTGTGGAATAGTAATATATCTTTTGTCCAAATATTGCAATGATTCAAGAAATTTAAGATTTAAGATCATATAAGATTTTTTTCTTGTTGGTATTTAATTTGAATGGATTTTGTCTACTTAGCTTCTTGTGCAAATTAACTGTAATCAAGTATCAGTCATTCGCCTAATGTTAGATTTCAGTTCACAAAGTTATTTTTTATTATTGGCACAGATTACAAAAGTTATTGGATTTGGTTTAAATTTAAAGTTTAAAAAATTATCAACATAATTTTATATTTGTATGCTTGTTCAGTGTAACTTTAATGAAAGATAAAGTTGGTTAACATGCAAGTTTAAAATCTCTCATTAATTTAATATAGATTTACTTAAAAATTAAAACAACTCTAATTACAGCAAATCGACATTTGATACGAGCATCGAAGCTCTTCAGAAAACAATAGAAGGATTAGAATTAGATGACCAACAGCGCAAACGTTTAGAGGCATTTCTGACACAGAAGCAGAAAGTCGGAGAATTGAACAGTGACGATTTCAAAAATCTGGGTGAATTGGGTGCCGGAAATGGAGGCGTCGTCACCAAAGTCTTACACCAGCCTTGTGGACTCATTATGGCAAGAAAGGTGATGAAAATTCATATATATAAGTTAGAATTTAACAACTATGGATTAGTTTTTTAATGCAAATTAATTAAGTTTTACTTGTTAACAAAATTGTGTTTTTATCAAATATACAGAACAAATATTTATATACAGGTTTATTACTTAATATTTAATGTGAATAAGATAATTAAATATTTACTTATTAAACTTTTTTGGATTTATGTATATGGAATATATGAATATATACTTACTTGATAAAGTTCCTAAATTCTATATTAATTATTTCATAATTTTATATTACATTTTAAGCAAATGTTTTAATTAATTTCATTATGTAAACACGATTTTCTCATTAATAGAAAGGAGAAATCAATATCTTTTGGATATTTTTGGAGAACGTTTAAATTAGATTTCGTTTTTGTGAAACTAGCAGTAAAATGGCTTTGAGTTCTTGCATTTGGAAAACAAATCATATTTCATAACAAATTTTTCATCTCTTCCTATTCTAAAAATAAAAAAATAATAATAATTTATTTAGTAATAGAGCAATATGTATCTAATTAAATATTAAAAAATATTGTAACAGGAAAGTTTGTAATGTTTTTAAGCAGTTATTTGCAAATAAACTAATATATTTTTATTTAAAAAGTTAATTAATATTCATAGTTAATTTTAAACTAAACTTCAATTGTATTGTATGATATGGAACCTCTGCATGTATCAATAGTATATGAAAGCTATCCAGACTGCTCTAGTGTAAACAAATAATTTAATGTGTTTTTTAATTGCATTATTTATTAAAATAATCTATTTTAAACCTTTTTTATACACTGAATTCAATACAATCATCATTCTTGATTTTTCCTTGGCCAGATACTGGGTTACAGAGTCGTATTTTAACTGTATCTTAGGTTAATAATGCACGGAATAAGAATAACCTTTGTTTAGGTACAAAATTAATAATAATTTTAGTTAATTTATTTCTTAAAATGAATTTTTTATTTGTAAAATGTAAAATGTTAAAATTTTTATTTGTAAAATGTAATACTTTTAAGCTAAAAGTTGGAGTTTTACGAAGCAGCAAAATTTGTTTCCGATCCAATTTACAATTTGAAAAGCCTTATTGTGTTTTTCTAAAATGTTTTATAGTTTCTTAGAATTAAAATAAAATTATTTAATGTTATAACAAATTTTAATAAGTTCAGTTAAGTGCGTTTTTTAAAGCTTAATTCTTCATTACGTTGAATGCTGAATACAAATAATTTCTAAAATATTTCAAGTTTTTTTTATATAAAAAATGCTGAAAATATTTTTTAATAATTTTAAATTGAAATGATTTTTACTTTTGTTTTTGAAGGAATTAAAAATTTATATATTTTTATTATTGATTAATTAACTAGTATTAGAAGAGAAAGGCAAGGTCAGATCCATTAAGACAACAGTTATGAAATGAAAGTGAAATGTTTTTTTCATGTTTTTTTACTTTTTTACTTCTAATAATTAGATTTCCTTCCTCAGTGATGATGGCTCGAATAAAAATATTGCCTTTTTATTACATAATATAATAAGATTTTTCATGCTAAAGTGTTTTTACATTTGCAGTCGAAACAGCCTGTCTCTCAAATATAGAATTTAATGACTATCTCTGTATATTGCGTAATAGTAATTAAATTGATGAATTATTTTAATGATGGAGACTTCTGAGAAAGTCACGGCGATTCACCATTGTCTACTATTGCCTAGTAATTTTATAGTAGAAGGTCGTGACCTGAGAATGTGAATGACCACTCTAAGAATATTAGCAAGAAAAAAGTATTTATTGTTAGACAGACTGCCAGACTGGAAAATAAGTGTTACGTAAATAAATAAAAAAATGTTTGTGTACACTTTAGAATTTAAATATTATTTATTTTAACTTTATTGATGATTTTAATTAGACTTTTTGCTCATTTTTGAGAAGTAATTTTATTATTTGTTGTATTTGTATAAAATGTTAGCTGTTTTTATTGATAATAACTGAATCTAAAACATATATTGTTTAGTTAATTCATTTGGAAGTGAAGCCTGCGATCAGGAACCAGATTATTCGTGAATTGAAGGTATTACACGAATGCAATTCCCCTCACATTGTCGGATTTTACGGAGCTTTCTACAGTGACGGAGAAATAAATATTTGTATGGAATATATGGTAGAGATCATTTATTGTATACATCTATAACCTCATTAAAGTAAATATGCTATATCTAATTTATTGCAATTCCTTTTAGGACGGTGGCTCTCTAGATTTAGTCCTTAAAAAGGCCGGAAGAATACCGGAACAGATTCTCGGGCAAGTCACTATCGCCGTAAGTTTAATCTTTATTTAGCTTTAATACATAAGAACTAATAAATTCAAAATAATCAGTGTCACCTCTCCCGATAGCTAAACTCGGTCTCTTGACTTACTAAGCTGCACCGTCAGCAATACGTCAGTTGTGTACACAAACCTGAGCAAATATCAATGAGACTTGTTATTTTAACCAGGAAAGAGACAGTTTCATTAGTATATAAATAGATATAAAAAATTTGTTTCCTGTTAATTATTTTTTTAAATGATTTAATTTTATGCAGTTAAATCAGAAAAAGTTTGTAATAAAAATTTTTATATTCAAGGTTTAAGGATATGACAAATTAGCTATCATTTCTTAATGTTGTATTTCCCTGTAACTTGTAGACATAAACAGACCTAGTCTTGATAATCTTGTCATCTGATTTCTAGACACACACAACAAATATTTGAAGTGCAACAGATAATACTTAGTAACTGCAAATGCTTGTGTTAAAAAAATAAAAAATAGCCTTTGAACTTGTGAGAAAATTTTTTTATGGCTTGCAAAGCACTTAAATAATATTTTACTTTTAATTATTTTGCTTATTTAATTATAAGGTAATATATAAAGTATTAACTTATAAGTTAAAGCACGTGGGTTTTTAAATTTTTTTTAAAAAAAGTTAATTATGTAAAGGTATATATATTTAGCATATTAAATTATACTTACATATTTTAGAAGCTTTTACTATAATTTTTATTAAGAATCCTTGAGTGTAACTAACATAATTAACTTTATTATAAACTATTTTATGTTACGGCAAGTTTTTATTGTATAGCTAAGAACTTAAATCTAAGTAAATGTGATTTGTTTGTAAGCACTTTTTTAATGTAATTAAGTTAACATTGTTCTTAAAACTTCAGAATTTATGTTAAAATATTTCTATTTAAAATTAACATAAATTTAATTGAATAAATATCTGAAAATTGTTTTGATTTTATAGTTCTTTTATAAATTGATTAATTAATAATTTTGTATTTTAACAGTTATTTTGATATTCTTCAAGTGAAAATAATGTTAAAATTGATATTTTTAAATAAACAGATTAAGTAATTATTGAAATCATTTATATTTAAAATCTTGCTCTGAATTTTTTTTTTTAAAGAAAAATGTAGAAAGTAGAGAAGTGCGTTACTGTCCTAATCTTTCTTCTGATTCATATTTTATTACTCATTATGTGAAAAAGTTGTTATTTTTGTTTATCTGATGTATGAGATGTTAACATATGCTTTGTAGAAAGCTAAAGCACTCATTCAGTTAGTTATTATGTACTTGAAAATTTAATTTTACTATAGTTATTTACCAAAGAGTAGTTTGTATTCAGGGTCTTCCAAACAAATGCTACCATTTTAAATTACTGTAATCAAGTTAATTATTATCTTACAAGTATGCGACATACACCAATCAATAGAACACTGTCCAAGTTTTATCCCCTATTTGCATTCAAACATCTTATTGTCTACTACCTCTAGGAAGTTCTGTAAAAAAAAATAACAACTCTGCAACAGAGAAGACATTTTATGTTCTACAGTTCACAAAGTCTGAATCACTTTTAATCTACAGGAGCTGTAGAATTGCAGCTGTCGTGGGAGAAGTAACAACAGATATGCCGGTAGTGAGCATAAGAAGAATTTGAGTAGTATCTGCTGGAAATATGTCATGTTACATGAGCTGCATACATTGAGAAATTGTAATGGGCAAATGTGAAACTTCAATGGTTTCCCAATGTTCTGATGTACTGTACATTATAATGTTTTCTGATAATAATTAATGTAGTTACAATAATTTTGGAATGGGCTGAACTTTTTGTGATAAATTTTCAGAACAAGATTTTTTTTAATTAACATATTTGCAAATTTATTGAGATAAATGTAAATATATTAATATCATATTAATATTTATAAATGATTTTTAGTTATTTGGTAAATGTTTACATACACTTTACTTTATAACTTTCCAAATATATATTGTATTCATATTTAAAAGCATTTATACTTTTAAATATAAACACAATACAATCTGTTAAATGCAATTTTTAATAATTGTAACCTACAAAGTTAATTTTTTTTAAAAAGTCTTATTGTTCATTGTTTTAAACCAACAGTTTCTTTTCATATATTTCACAATTGGTTTTCTATTCATTTTCTTGTAATATTTACTATTTAAGATGTAGGATTTATTTTTGATACAAAAAAGATAAACAATAAAGTTGACATTACGAAAATCATTATTTTAATCTAAATTGGATACTGCAGATTTGTTTGATTCTTCTCTTGTGCCAATAATTCAGATTAGATTTACATTTTCAAGAGTAACCTTTATTTTCATGTATTATTTGTGTTATTAACTAGGTTTTTGATTGTTCAGGAAATTTAATAGAATAGAATGAGGAATCTGAAGATGGAGACGTAATAACGTCAAAAATGTTCATTCTAGTGCTAATATTACACGTTACTGCTTGAGTTTGGGTATTTTAAGTAAGTTGAATAGAATTAGGTTATACTATTTTATAAACTTGCCTAGATAATTTTTACTTTCCCAGTCCTGTTATATATAACAGAGGATAAGTATGGCAAGTGATCAAAAATGACACCCAATAAGATTTTTACATTTTTGGGATCGGGACCTTGAAATATCAAGAAATGCAAAATAAGTTGGAGGTCGTTTCTGTGTGTATGGGGAGCATGATTTGTTCACCTACTTTGAAGCTTAATAACTTGGGTGCCTTCTGTTGAAAATTTTTGAAATTTTGCAGAGATTTATATACAGTATTAGGTACTGTACATTGATGCTATTAAATTTTGGTAGTTAACAGTTTTGGGGGTTTGGAGATAGAGCGGGTTGTATGTCATATCTCAAGTAGAGTTGGACTTAATGACAATTTTACTCATAATTAGCATAACAAATCTACCTTCGAAATTAAGCTTTTTGCCATTTTATAATAATTAATTATATGAAAAGTTTTTAAAATAAAATACCATAGTAAATGGTACCATATTCAGTTTTAAATGTTGCCAGGAAAGTTATGCAATTCATTTCTGGATTTTTTAGTTAGTTTACTATCATTTGTATTATTTAATTTTGTTAATAAGAACAGAAATGATTAGATTGATGATTAATTTATATTGCAAACATTGTAAGAATTTTGAGTTATTAGGTATAACTATTAAATTAATTAAAAATCTACTAATGTGAGGTAGATAATAAGGACTTGTCACACCAGTGATAATAAGCACAAGCACCCAGGTATCAATGGAGTACATTTAATAAAACAAGAAAGGGTGTACATTAAAATTTTAATTGCTAGTGTAAGCGATTTTAATGTACACCCTTTCTTGTTTTATTAAATGTACTCCATTGATACCTGGGTGCTTGTGCTTATTATCGTTGGTGTGATAAGTTTTTATTATCTACCTCACATTAGTAGATTTTTAATTAATTTAATTATACATAAGTCAAAAAGCAATTTCTTTACATTAAGTATAACTATATTTGTATCCTGCTAACTCAATGATTAAGCATAAAATTATTTAATTTGTCTACTAACAAAACATTTTCATTAATCTTGTACAAGTGATTTATGGTTGTTCTGTTTTAGTTTGAGATCTTTATCTTTCTCATTTTATGTGCTTTCATAATTTATGCTATAAATTATCAAAATGTAAAGTCAATTGAAAGTTTAAAAATTTTATAATTATATAATCAATAATTTAGACTATTTTCAAATAAAACTTTAAAAAATTCTTTTAATTAACTGCAAAACACACTGGGATGAATATAAAAAATGCAACTCACATTATTTACACTGGGTAATTGGTTAATGTAAGTTGCACTTTTTAAATTCCTTTAAGTTTAACTTTCAACAAATTTATTCTGAGTGCATTTTTAAATATTTAGAAGGCAATTTAATATCAGATTTAAGAAGTAGAAAATATATAGCAATAATTAACGTGAAATAAATAAATCTACAGGATAGTACAAAAGTCAGTTGACATTTTAAAACCCTTAAAATAAGCTTAAAAATATATAATGGTTGACTTTTAAGCTGTCTTGTAGATACTGTAGACATCATTTCTGTTTATCTGATGCTCAATAAATATATTCTGAATGTTTCAATGTCATTTTCAGAGTATTTATTCATTTCCAATAACATAATATTTTGAATTTTTAAAGTAATTTTTGATGGATTTAAATATTCTAAAAATACAAACAAATACCAAATTTTCTTTCATAACATTTAAATTGCAGTCAATAGCATTTAAGTTTTGTTGATGTTTAGAAATACGTAAAGTGGTACAGTGTCTTATACTTCATTCATCATATTTAAAATTTTTCAAAGTTTGATGACAAAAACATTTAGTTTTATTCTGTAAATGTAAAACATAATAAGTTTAAATTACACTCATTGCCATAAAAATTAGCACACTGAGAAGGAGTTGTCTGAATCAAATGAAATTGTACATGTGTGAGAGTGATGGTGATATAAGTAAGTAATTACAAACTTAAAAGGATCATTTATTGCAAGAAAAACTACAAATGAAATGAGGTTCTAATACTCTATTGGACCACCTCTATAGCATGAATACAAGATGTGATACTAGTGGGCATGGAGGTATACAGGTGCCATATAGTGTTCTGCAGCATCTCAGTTCACAGTTACTGCAAAAAGTTCTCTAGTTTGGCCAAACTTCTAGGCTGTCCAACTTGGCATCCCAGGTGATTCCAGACATGTTCAGTCAGTGACAAATCAGGACTGGGCAGGTCAGGAAAGTGGAGCAATGTGGTGGAGGAAGTCCTGTGACACTCTTGCTAGATGTGGTTGAGCATTGTTCTGAAAATGGCTGTTAAGAGCCCTGCCACAAGAGGCAACACATGTGGCTGCAGGATGTCACTATCACTGGGTTGTTATGGTTTCTTGGATCACTACTAGAGTCGTATGTTGTATGTGATGGCCCAGGGTGCCATCACATCAGCTGTGGGGGCAATGTGCCACTTCAGTATAGGCAGGATTGAGGCATTCACCACTGGGACTCCAGACATGAACATGGCAGTTGTCAGTGCCCTAACTGAATTTGGATTTGTCACTGTAGATGATCCGGTTTCATTCTGTTGTGGTCCAATTCCATTAGGAGAGACACCACTCCAGAGGTGATGGTCAGTGTCTGTCAGTGGCAGCACATATAATGGCCACTGCAATACCAAATGTTTTTCATCCAGATGCCTCAAAATGGTACAGACAGGCCTCTGTGCTTGTCTGTACCATTTTGAGGCACATTGTTGGCTGTGTGTGTACTTATCAGAGGACCAGCACTCTGCCAAACCTGAGCACCCTGCATGCAATGCAAGCACTCTCTTGTGCACTGGTCTCAACACTTTCTCAGTGTTGTCAGAACAGCCTATGTGGTGGGCTATTTGGTGAGATGACCATCTGGCTTCTCTCAACTTGATAATTCTCCCTCTCAAATTCTGTTATTGTTCACATGGTCTTTGATTGAAATATAAAGGCATATCCAGTGATACAGCATCCCTCTGCAACAGGTAAATTACAGACAATGCCTTTGCATGCTTTTTTTATAGGCCAAGGGGACGCATTTGAACTCCCTCTGCTGGAATTATGCAATGAACCATCACACTATAATTTGAATCATTTTTATATCTGCTTGAGACTTATCTGCATACCAAGTTTTTCAGCAATACAATAACTTCTTGGTGTTCTAATTTTTATTCCAATGAGTGTACATATCTTATAAAAGTATTATATTTTTGGCTCAATATACAGTATTGCTGATCTTGCTGTATATATTGTGAAAAGTAATTCATCTAGTTTTGAACAATTATTTACTGTTCACTCATTTTAAACTCTGCTAGCGTCATCAAATTTTCTCAAGTGAATTTTTTGATTGATTACCCTGTTTATTAATGTATAAAAAAAATTAATATAAACAAATATGTGTACTATGTCTAACATAGTTAATGAGTTTAGTTATAATTATTGATGATTTCTGATTATAAATGAAAGTTACAATTGAATTTAAATTATAGTTGGCATCTATATATTGATATTATTGAACATTATACATTTATTTATATAAATTAATACAAAGGTGTGCCAGGAGGTCAATATTAGCCTTCTCCAATGTAACAAAATTCCATTAAAAAGTAACGTTAAAAATTAACAAGTAAACATTTAAAATACTTAGAGAAACTTAAGAGAGAAAGAGAGAACTTAAGATAAAATTCAGCATTAAGAAGTATATAATATTCATTTACAATTACATTTGTATATGTGGTACTCTATGTATAATGTTTTTTATATATTAACAACTCATTTATAATAATGGAAGAAAGATCTGATTGTAATATTGAGATGACAGAAAGGAACATAAAGACAAAATATTTTAGATATGAAGAAACAGAATTCTTAGGCTAATATAATGTGAAGGAAGCAAGCCATTACAGTATTTATGTGCAATATTTTAAACTTTTAAATAATATCTTCTTATGGAAATCAAAATATATATTTCACTTAAAAGTCTTTTGGTCCTAATTGGGCCATTTTCAGTTTTTACTGCAACTTTTACACAAAATTCTTTGTTTTAACAAAATCTTCTGTTAAGTTCTTTCCAGAATGCTTATTTGAAACCATCTTCTAAAATTCATAATGGACATATTTTAGAATATGAAGATATATATACATAATTATCATAATAGCTTCTTAGTTGAGAGTGTATGTTCAGTTAATTAACATTAATACTTACATTACATACAAATGCAAGTATGAAGTTTATGAAGAAAAACTTCATACTTTCATTCTTCGTACGCATTTGTATCCTGGTCCAATTTGCACAACCTGACATAATGCAATTATTGAAGCTACTGGTCATGGTTAAAAATTAAGACAGCATTGGCGCAATTATTTGAGATATTACAGGTTCCGACAAGTAAAGACCTGCCACAAATAGGCTATATATTGCTTATTGACAATATGTAACATGCCACAACAAGCAAAAATTTAAAAAAATCAATAAACAGGCTTAAAATTAATAAATATAAATGTATTTTGACAGTTTGAGTTAATTATACTTTCTATTTGCAAAATTTCCTCAATCTTAACACAAAAAAAGAAAAAGTTAAATTTTCTTTTAAGAAATTTGTGGGATTTTCTGGGTTAAAAAAACAGCCTGATTCATTGGTTCCCGAGATCCTGTTTGAGAAACTCTAGTGTGAGCCAACTTAAAATATGATGTAGAAAATAAAATTATAAACTTAATAATGTTGAAGTTGATGAATGAAATATATATGATAATTTTACAAAATAATAGATAGGTAAAACCAATGAATAATCATACTTATTACACTCTTAGCAAATTTAATTAACTCTTTATTTGTCCAATATGCATTGTGGCCTTTTCTGGCCCTCTTCAATTATATTTTACAAACAATCCCAAACAGAGCTTCTGATAACAATCATTAATACTATAATTAATTTGTAGGTGTACAACAACTTAGTTTAAATTACAAAATATAATATATAGATAAGTTGTTGTATACATATGTTTTTAATGATTGTTATCAGAGGCTCTGTTTTTTGGGATTGCTACTATTGTTTGTAAAATTCAATTTAAGAGGCCCAGGACAGGCCAAAATGCATAATGAACCCAATAAAGAGTTAATTAAATTTGCTGAGAATGTAATAAGCCCGATTCATTGGTTCCAGTTAACTATTAATTTGTAAAATTAGTAATATAGGAAAGAACTTCTTAATTGATACGTGATAATTTTTAAAAATCTCTCTTAAGTTAAGCAGGAATTGCATAGAATTTTATAGTTCCGATTGAATATTATTTAAAGTTTTACTTGAAATTAAAATAATTCTAAATATTTTACATGGTTTTATTTCTTAAATATGCAATATATTATTGCATATTTAAGAAAATTTAATATGTCTTAAAAATAAATTCATTTAAATTTATTGTTTTTATTTCAACCTTTTTTATATTGTCATAAAAAGTGCTTTGAACAAGTCAAATGTTGTTCTTATCAAAGTTGGCAATTTAATTTCCTGTTATTGGCGAATAAAGTAGTTGCCATAGCAACAGAAAATTAGTCAATTTTCACACTAAATGTTTGAATAATGTTTTTGTCAAAAACGATTACATATAAATACTTTAATAAGTAATTTTTACTTATTAAATATTTAATTGTTTCAAATTTATTTTTAAAGGTATTAAAAGGTTTGAATTACCTTCGAGAGAAACATCAAATAATGCACAGAGGTAAGCTTATTATCTATTTAATGTTTTTATTAAAATGGTTGATTTGTTTTTTAATTTATAAGATTATTATTTTTAAAAAGTTTATATTTTAATTAATATCTTTCTCTTGTTTCATTTTAGATGTGAAACCGTCAAACATCCTTGTTAATTCTAGAGGAGAGATCAAAATATGTGATTTTGGCGTTAGCGGTCAGTTAATAGATTCGATGGCAAACTCTTTTGTCGGAACCAGATCTTACATGTCGGTAAGCGTGAAATTAGTGTGCTTTGTATTTGCCGACGACAAAACGACTTTAATATTTATATATTTTCTCAAATGTAGCCAGAAAGGCTGCAGGGCACGCACTATACGGTCCAGTCGGATATTTGGAGTTTAGGTCTGTCTTTGGTGGAGATGGCAATCGGTCGTTATCCCATTCCTCCACCCGATCCGAAAGAATTGGCTGCCATCTTTGGATCCAAATATACTGCAGATCAAGATGGCGAAACTCCTTCTCCCAGTTCTAAAAACAGACCAAGTAAGTATAAGCAAATTATGGGAAAATTAATTAAATACTAATTATAAATTTCTCGTTAAAATCAATTTCTTTGTAGGTAGTTTCACAGTGTCTTTAGGTGATGGTCCCAGACCCATGTCAATTTTTGAATTATTGGATTATATTGTTAATGAGGTAAAAAATATTAACATTATTGCTGTTAATATTCTTTAAAATATAATTCAAGGTATAAAACAATATTAAAATTATAAATTATATGTTTTTTAAGAATTTTTTATTCTTGGTATTAAAGAATTATTTTGAAATACTGAACCTGGCAACTCAGACTAATAGGGATGAGGGTTGTCTGAGTTAGCAGGACAATTTCTTAGCTATATCTAATAATAATAATAATTTTAATTAAACAATAATTTTTTATTCAAGAGTTGGGCTAAGTAGTGGTTACCAGTAACCTACTGAAGGCCATTTTCCTAAATATAGGGAAGCTTATGGGGAATTGCAACTTCATAAAGTTGGATCCTATATGTCTTAAAATATGTTTTAATACAAATTTAATATTATACAAACTTATACAAAGTTTGTATAAGTTGATAGCTTCACTGTCTTTAAGCCAAATTAAAATTAGCCTTGATATATTATAAACTAATCTGGTGATCTTGACTTAAAAATGTTTTTAGAAACCTTTTACTGCTGCACATACTGTATTTGGTGTAGTAGAAAAAGCAGAAACTGCTAATACTTTATCCCAATTACAGAAGGCAAACACAGCTCCTTGGCTAGATTTTTATGCATGCAACTTCTATGGTCAATTGTTGTATTTAAGATATTAATTTTAAGTTCTTACTTTTTCTTATCATAAAGAAAATAATATCATTCTATTATTTGAATAAATATTTCTATATTAAATGACATTAGAAAATTCATCATTTTTTTTCTGCTTCAATCGATAGCAGTTCTTGTCAAAGCTTGCATTATTGAAACAGTGTGTGATTATAAAATGACCCATTTTTGTTTATTAGAAACACAGCTTGGTGATATCCACTGCAAAAGATAAATCTTAGCAAACCCTTGTCACTTCTTTTTGTTTTTAATTCTTTCCACCTTGTGAGTGTGTAACACTAAAAGGAACTTTTTAATTAACAAGCCCATTATGAGTTTGACCAGACCCACAGTGGGGTAGCCAGGTATGAGAGATGGGAGCTCAACATATCTGGACAGACCACCCTCTAAAATATTTTTGGAGGTTTTTTCTTTTTTTTTTGACTTGTCTGGATTTGATCCAGAGTTTCCAACAGTGGTAGGCTGCACAAATGTCTAAACTATGAGTGAGCATTTGTTCTAAATTATGCCACAGTGGTAAACTGCGTCAATAACTGGAACTTGATATGTGGTATTTTCTGGTCATAATTACTATTAGTAAAAAATGAAAGTAAGTTAAATATTTAGATAGATACCTTACTTATAGATGAATTATTTTTCCATAAAAAAATTAATATGGTAATGTTTAGAATAGAATGCTCTATTTCATTAAATTATAAGATGGAATTATGAATAAAATAAAATAAGACAGGTTAAGAGTTCATCTATTCTTACTCTGAGAAGTTCTACTGGAAATCTTTTCTCTGTATGAACTTCTACAATTCCAAAGTTAGGTCAGAACTGTAAACAAGAAATCCTAATATAGTGAAACTTTCATTAATGGACACGCTAAATAACAGACCAACCGTACGAAAACACAATGTACCGCCTTCAATATTCTGAAACAATTAATTACATACAAAATATTTTAAAACTAAAACAAAGAATTAGTTCAAATACACTTTCAGGGGATGAATTTTGACTGTAGGCCTTGAATAAAGACACTGATAATAGGAATGGAGGAGGAGGACAGTTTGTAAAAAGCCAAATAATACTCTCTATCTGTTAGAGAACACTAATCTGGTTAATTTGTCAATCACCACTTATCATCATATGTATTAATGTTATTAAATGTTATATTGTCTATCTTATTGTTCTAATTAAGCTTATGGTATTAAGAAAGCATAGACTTTTTCCAAATTATTCATTTATTCAACAAGAACTGTAATAGTAATGAAAAATAAACTTAAAATGATTAGGACAACAGCATTTATGTGGTGAAAGTTCAAAGGTCATGTTATGAAGGCAATTCGCTGGCCACTTTAAAGTGTGGGAAGATATTTGGCATTCTTGCATTTATGATGCCATTTGTGATCTTAATAGCTTTGTGGTGGCTAAAATGTAATTTTTAATAAATCAGTTACTGAAAAAAGCAAACAATGTTCGAAAAGCTACACCTGCTTGATAATTACAAAGCAGACAAATTCTGTATTAATTTTTATTAGTCACTTAGATCATAAACAACATTATAAATGTAACAATTTCGAATACATTTTCTATCCCTTGAAGTGGATAGCAATATTGCCTTTGTAACTCAACATTCAAATGATATTTTTACAGCTGAAAAAATAAATAATATAGTATTGTATATTTTTTTTAATTATATATGCTACATATACTTTTCAGTATATTCATTTATAGAAAATGCCTACTAGTGGCTGCATGGATAAAAAGAAGAGTTTGTGCCTGGTCAGATGGCATTTTCCAGATTTTATTACATTACTAAATACTATTCAGGTACCAGTTTCCTGTAATAATTTCTCCCGAAAGGCTTCTCCATTGGCAGATTACTCCTGTGTTTACATTGCCTTATCCTGTCACTCCTACATTACAAAAATATTAAAGAATATAGTAAAATACAAACTGCATTTAGATATATATTTTCTTTCTTATTTACATAGCTATTTTTATTTTTATGAAACATAAACTATGATGATTTATGATTAGCCTAAATGACTACTGTATTTGTCATTTGAATTACTAAACTTTCATATTTTTTATCATCATTATCATCGAACGGAATAAACTGGTTTCTACAAGAAAAATTTACAAGTTCAGGTTATATAAATATATAAACAAAAACTTATTTATAAAAATTAAAAAAATTGTTCTGAAGGAAAATATTTTTAGTTAAGTGTTAATCAGATAAATAAGTGATTGATAATTTTGACTTCCATAAAAATGATAAGTAGCAAACTTAGTCACAAGTTATTTGTATAGGATTACAAACAAATTGAGTGTGTTACATTTTGAGTGAGTGGCCTCAGTAAACAAGTTTGTATAGTACGATACCTTCAGCACTACCATGTTGCATGTAAAGACTAAATACATAATAACAAAATTGATTTTGAATAAATGTTACACAAATTTTAATATTTCTCTAAAAGTAAATTTAATTTTAGTTCAAAATTATATTTAAGATTTTATTTAAAATATATAGATATACACAGGAGATCTTCATTATCAGTATCCTTGCATTTATATGGATCCATTAAAAATATTTTTAATAAATGTGGAAGTTTAAATTGGATTCAACAGTCTGATTATTTATTAACCTTTTAAATTTTTTCATAACTTTTGGCACATCCTGTATATTCTTCTTTCTAATATAAGCTAAATTACAGCTAATATTAAAAAGAAAATGAATTGAGATAAAAGAATTATCACTGTATAATATAGTACAGGATTGCAAACCTATGGCACATGTTCCCGGTGTGGCATGTCAGGAGAAAGTATCTGATCATACAATTTCAGTTTATCACCTAATCATTTTTTACATTTATTCTAATTAAAGCATATTTGTTTCATTTAAGTATCATTATCTGAAGTATAAAACTCTGACAATCATAAGCATTTTTAAAGATAATTATGCTTGCTATATGGCACACACATTCAAAAAGGTTTACCATTCCCATAATAGTGTACTAGAGTTAAATGTTTTTCAGGCAACTTCAGGAGACTGTTGCACTTAAATAGTTTGTGGCCAAACTTCTGAATTATATGAAATGATATGTTCAATGAAACTCTAGGATAATTACCTACTAAATATCATAAAGTATCCTTATTCATGGAACTAGAGTTGTGTTTTTTCATTCCTGTTCTGTTTTTAAACCTATAATTACCATACATAATTTCACAATAACAAAAACAGCACAGCTTCAAAAAGAAGCTGGGCTGTTTTGCATCCAAGGTCTCATCATAGCCTTTAGGTATGTATTATATCTATGTACTCAGTAATATGGCTCTCTTGCTAATGTGACAATGACAACTCTCTCTGTGCAAGGAATGGCCAGATTAACAAGAGTCTAGTTCAGTGATTCCAAACTTTTACAAGCCACCATTCCCTTGGTTCCATAAACTTATATCCAATGCCCCAACCTGTTTTCTTTTGTATGAAAAAGAGTTGAAAAGCTTTTCTATACTCTTAGAAAAACTTTTCTATGAACCTCACACTTTTTGTCTTTATCGTACATTGTTCTCCACATCTGGAGACCATTAAATGCAATATTGCTTCTTACCCATTTTAATGGAGGAAAGGGAAAGTTTGTCAGTGACCCAAACCCTTGCCTATGGTCACCTTTCTGCCACCAACACCCCTGCTGTTTCCTTGCTCTTTTTGCCTCTAGATTTACTCACTGCCCCAGAGGTGGTAGCACCCACTTTGGGGAACCACTGGTCTAGTTTAATAATAATAATAATAATAATACAGGGTGACAATAATCAACCCGTACAAGTTTTTTGCATCGTAAATTTATTAAAGAAATGAAAATTAGCAAAACAACAGCAGATAGCAGTGACAATACTTTACGTATTAATCAGATATTCAGTTGGTTTCAAAGTGCCTCCTTTTGCCTTGATGCAGAGCCCCAAATGCATTTCTAAGTTGTCGGCGATAGGCCACAGCTCTTCTGGAGATAGTTTGTCCCACTTCCAGTACATGGATTGCTTCAGCGACTCCAAACTTATGTGGTGCTTAGCGCAGGCCTTAGCCTCCAAAATGGACCACACACTGTAGTCCATCGGGTTCAGATCTGGTGAGTACAGTGGCCATTCCGCAGACAAGATGAAATCAGGAAAATGAGCCTTGCACCATTCCTGAGTCTTCTTCTCCCTGTGTGCTGGTGCTGAGTCCTGCTGAAACATCCATTTCCCACCGCCAAAATGCTGCTGAGCCCACAGACGTACCATGGTCTCGAGAATGTCATGGTGGTACATGTCTTGATTGATTTTGGCCCCTTGATCAACAAAAACAAGGGGTGTCTTGCTGCTTGCACAAATTCCGGCCCAAACATTGGATTTTGGTGATGTTCGATGACAGCTGAACATTCGGGAGCCTCTGCAGAACAGTTCCTTTCGTTTTGATGGCTTTGTGCCTGTTGTATGGAGAAAAGCTTCTCATCTGTGAAGAGAATGCACTCCTTCCTGCGGCCCGACGCTTGAGTTGATGGCATCTTTGGAGTCGCATGCCCTTGTTTTCATCGGTGAGGAGCTGAACCTTTTGGAACTTGTAGGGCTTCAGTCCGAGTTCCTTTTTCACCATTAACCGCACCGATTTGCGATTGATTCCGATCTCATGAGCAATTTTTTTCAGGGAGGTCTTCACATGTCAGTCAACTTGCTTTTTGATGATCTTGCGGTTCCTAGACGTGTTGATGGTGTGCTTTCTTCCATGTCTGGGATGGTCACCATCATGGTCAAGCTCCTTGAATCGCTGAACTGCATTCGAGACTGTCATTTTGGGAACACCGAGCAAACGAACAATTTCACATTGACACTTTCCTTGCCGGAATAGCTCCAAAATTGTACATTTGTTCTACATCCTTAAAAAAAATAAAGAACTAACCTTTATTACACCGAAAGCACATCTACATGGACAGGAAATCATGGAGAATTAAACAAAAGTATGTAAATTGGTGACGATAAAAAAGTTCAGGTGCAGCATTGCTACAAACTTTGTACGGGTTAATTATTGTCACCCTGTAACAACAACAACACAGTTAAATAACATTACAGTTACATAAAGCAGTAACTCTAGCAGACTCAAATAACACACCATTAAATTTATACTCACATCATATGGATCAGGTCATAAATACAGTGGTACAGTACCTCAGGATACGAAATTAATCCGTTCCGAAACTGAGATCGTATCATGAAAATGTTGTAAGGTGGATCATCTTTTCCCATACGATTACATGTAAAACCAAATAATTCGTTCCAACGCGAAAAACATACTCAAATTAAAGCCAAGTAATACATTTAAAAAAATAACTGTAGTAAGAAAAACAAATGAAAAATGCGAACTAATGTAACGTCGTATGGTGAGTTTTTGCTCGTATCGTGGAGCAAAAATATGTTCGAATTTCATGTCGTATCCTGAAAATTTCGTATGCTGGGGCGTTCGTAACCTGAGGTACCACTGTACTAAAAACTACAGAAAACACATACTCAAAGATACAACACTAACAAATGATACATGCAGAAAATGTCACATCATGCCAGAAACTATACAACACATCACTTCTGGTTGCTCAGAGAGATTATTTACACAGACATAATCAAGTACCAAATATAATACACCAAGAACATGCAAAGAAACACAAATTATTAGACATCCACAAATCATACTACAAATACATTCCACAGACAGTATTGGAAAACGAAATGCAAAAAGTGTACTATGACAGAGCCATAATCACAGATAAAACAACTTACCACAACAGATCAGAAATCACACTCATTGACAAACATTAAAATCACATACATTATAGACGTATCTATTCCAAATACAATGTACAAAACACATGCATGGAAACAATCTACAAGTACACAGAACACTCAGGAAATAAGGCATCTGTGGAGGATGAATAGGGGGATTATTGTACTTGTTGTTCTATCCTCTTCCAGGTATCTCACACACTACAGAAAAGCCTGGGAACATTACAATTGAATAGAAACACATATATCACAGTACAGAAGACCACTATATTGAATAAATGTCATATTGTTAGGAAATTCCTGAATACAGATGCACACACTAACACACTTATTTAATTTTTGTCTTGTTTTGCTTTCAATGCCTTGACTTTGGTCCTTCATAGTATTACAGCAACCGGCGTCAGCCAAGTATAATTCACTAAATCAACATAATAATAATATTTATAAACTATTCCTGATAATTCTAATAAATTATGATAAATATCTATACATAATACTTTAGATACATTATGACTAATTAATTAGCCATATTAGTTTATTTAAAATTTGGCAGTACCTTTTGTTTATTATTATGTTGGACTTTATTTATAAGTAATATTTCTACATTTATTTTAAATTATATTTTTTCAATAAAACAAAATTTATTGTTAGATAATTACAAAGATTATAATAAATTAATTAAAATATTTTTCAGCCACCTCCAACAGTTCCCACCGGAGTCTTTTCTACTGAATTTAAAGATCTTGTAGACAGATGGTAAGACGAAATATGTATTTACTAACAATATATATACATAACTTACTAAATTATTTCTTATTGCTGTTAATCTACCCATAAGAATATCTTAATTTATCAATTTCTGAACCAGAAATGGTTTGACAATACACAGTAAAACCTGGCAAAATTGAAAACATCTGATTATGTAAAATATTTCTGCCTTACACAGGTACTGATGAGGTAAAAGATAATAAACAATGTAGAAATTGTGATATACAGTGTCCATTTTAGTTTCCTGAAAACTGAATTTTCAAAAGTTTATTTTTTATTAACTATTAGTAATCGAAAGGGTAAGCCATTACNCTGAATACAGATGCACACACTAACACACTTATTTAATTTTTGTCTTGTTTTGCTTTCAATGCCTTGACTTTGGTCCTTCATAGTATTACAGCAACCGGCGTCAGCCAAGTATAATTCACTAAATCAACATAATAATAATATTTATAAACTATTCCTGATAATTCTAATAAATTATGATAAATATCTATACATAATACTTTAGATACATTATGACTAATTAATTAGCCATATTAGTTTATTTAAAATTTGGCAGTACCTTTTGTTTATTATTATGTTGGACTTTATTTATAAGTAATATTTCTACATTTATTTTAAATTATATTTTTTCAATAAAACAAAATTTATTGTTAGATAATTACAAAGATTATAATAAATTAATTAAAATATTTTTCAGCCACCTCCAACAGTTCCCACCGGAGTCTTTTCTACTGAATTTAAAGATCTTGTAGACAGATGGTAAGACGAAATATGTATTTACTAACAATATATATACATAACTTACTAAATTATTTCTTATTGCTGTTAATCTACCCATAAGAATATCTTAATTTATCAATTTCTGAACCAGAAATGGTTTGACAATACACAGTAAAACCTGGCAAAATTGAAAACATCTGATTATGTAAAATATTTCTGCCTTACACAGGTACTGATGAGGTAAAAGATAATAAACAATGTAGAAATTGTGATATACAGTGTCCATTTTAGTTTCCTGAAAACTGAATTTTCAAAAGTTTATTTTTTATTAACTATTAGTAATCGAAAGGGTAAGCCATTACAAAATACAAAGTTGTTCCGTGTTTAATGCTTCTTGAAACTTAAATGTTTCACATTTTGAATAATGTTGCTTGTTTTGACATTGTCTTTGCTATAGTTGATGGGTTCAGTGACAGTCTGCAAAGAATTTTTTTGACTTAGGAAAGTTACTCATTTGTTAGAAAATTCCTTTAAAGCAGAAATTTTAATCAGGACCTTTGAAGAACTGCTGTTCTTTTCAGTTCACAGTTATTCAAAGCCCTGTATTAAATAGTAGTAATATATATTAAGAAGGACCGATTTGTTTTATGAGGATCTACATTTTCTAAGTACATACTTTTTTAGATAATGTTCTTATTGGAATTAATTATATGACAATATTAAAAATTGAACAGAATAGCCATTATGTTAATATATATTTATCACCATATATTTTAAACTGGCCGACTTGCCACTTCTCTGTTATATTTGTTCACACGTTTAAATACTAAAGGACAAAAGTGAGTGAAGTGGACTTCACATCTTGGATGATTCTACTGTGAGTTTATACTATTGACATACTTTCCCCAATCTGCAGCATTTTTTTTTTAATTGAAAATATTAGGATATAAATTTGAGAAAGAAGAAGTTAGAATAATATATTTGTGTTTAGTGATTTATTAATTCTTTATATTATATATATATATATATTTTAAACAAGGTTTTAATAAATTGGTTAAATAATTTATCATAGTCATTACTACATTGAATTATAAAATCTGAAAAATCAATGGGGATAAAAATAATGACTTTATTGAATCAGTGATTAATTACAGATCATATGCTGCCTAAAAATGTTCAGTCATAGCAACTTGTTAGGTTTGTAAATGTAAGTCAACTTAAGGGAATTCACAAGTCACATCAGTGACTTGTCACTGATTACGTCGAAAAATGCATTTATTGTGTATTTTGTACATTAAAAATTGAAATATATTGTAGATATTGCAAATGTTAAGAAATACAGCACTGATATTGGTACATATGTTACTGCGAATGACCAATATCTGGCGAATGTCAACATTATCCAGTGAATGTCAGCATTCACACAGTCGTTTCGTGTATGTACGAAATATTTGCTAAATATCATTATTTCTCACTTACACTGGCAAATGGCAACATTCGGTATGCACTGATGGTGAATGTTGAATAAAAATATTTTTATGTTAAGACAAAAATGCGACTTTTTAATACATCAAAATAGGAGAAAGCTTAAGTAACAGCACATGTAAATAAACTGTTGAACCTAAAACGTATCAGTACATTCTTAATCAGAAAAGAAATTAATTCAATAATAAACTTATACATGAATTATGTGATTAACGTCATACGATCTTATTTATTGCAACAACTTAAACTGTTGTGACACTTTAAATTGCACAAAAATCCCTCGCTTTTACAACTGCATTTATTCGTGGAGCACTTCTTTTTGCAATAACAGCGTGTATAGCCTTGCCCTCCACTTTTCGAATTAGCTGCAGCTGCTTCTCTCAGCGATATTTCTTGAGAAGAAATCTCATCTATGGAAAGTAACTTTTCTTTACAAATTATGAACTTATTACAGGTATAAAGCTGCTTGAGGATACCATTTTTGTTTGCTAATTTATAAAAGTCAGAGTTTTCTAATCCAACAACAACCGCCAACACATTTCGGGCATCTGTACGGCCATGGTTGACATCAGGGACTTGCATTTGTATGGTATCTTCAATTTGAGCAGAAGGAAATTTTCTTTTTGAGGTTCATAACATTTTCGTTGCTTGCAGTAGAAGATTCTCTTTTGTGGCCACTCTTTTTATAGAAATAAATTTGTGTTGTTCAGTCAGGGTTTGATATGAAGATGTGGTGGGTTGCAGCTCTTCAATATTTTCCTTTGATAAATTACCTAACTTCACTGCCTGTAATCGGTGTTCTTCTCCAATACGAAGGACTTTGCAAACGTTTTCGAACCTAATGTGGTTCTTCTTCAGGCGCTACGGAATTCTCTATATGAATTCGAATTTCCAGTCTCTGGAAATTCAAATTCATGTAGAGAATTCCGTATATTCATATTCATTCATATTCATATTTTCGTAGCGCCTGAAGAAGAACCACATTAGGTTCAAAAACGTTTGCAAAGTCCTTCGTATTGGAGAAGAACACCGGTTACAGGCAGTGAAGTTAGGTAATTTATCAATTACGGTGTTATAATTTCTATATAGTTTATTTTCCTTTGAAATATGGTATTCGTTATGGCCTTTCTAAATTTTCTTCAAAAGTATTAACAATTTCTTTGAGCTGTTCTTCGTTTCAATATTTGCGATTTGTTCGCCAGGCAAAGATGACAATGCTATGCCTCTTTTTGGTTTAACACCAAACATGGCTTCATAGGGACTTTGGCATATTCCTTTGTAATATGTAGTGTTCTTGGCAAATTGTACAAAGGGCAAACCATCTGACCATTTATTTGTATCATTATTGTTTATCCATGCATTTAACATAGTCTTTATATCCTGATTAACCCTTTCAACTGAGCCTTGTGTTTGACTACGACGAGGCTTTCCATGAACTATCTTAACATCTTCCCACATAGTGCATAATTCAGATATGACTTGATTACAGAATTCCCTACCATTATCTGAATGCAATATAGCTGGGGCACCAAATGTTAAAAATATTTGAAGAAGGTGATATGGTACTTCTTCAGCTGTCTTAGTTTTCAAAGGTCGTAACTGGACAAATTTCATCAAATGATCTTGATATACCATTATGAACTTATATTTGCCATCCCTGTGTGACTGCAGGTGTGTCAGATCAACTTGACATTCTTGAGTTTAATGCAAAACTGACCATTGGTTTCATGATAATACCTTTTTTAGATGCACTATGTTTCATTTGACATTGTTTACATAAATTTAAATACAACATTACAACTTCATGTGTAATATTTTTGTATTTAAGTTGCAATTCTTTAAGCATACGTGTTTGAGGAAGAACACGTATGCTTAAAGATGTGATCTGCCTGATCTGCTGTGAGGGTCAAATAGTGTACTGAACAATTCATCATTGGTAACATAATACTGTATATTCATTTCTCTTGGTTTTAATGGTACAATTAATTTATCTTCATCATTAATTTTTAAAACATCAAAATGTTTTAATCGTTTGTAATCCAAAGGTGTGCTGCACTTAGTTTTAGCAGAAATCACTTCAGAAAATATTTTAGAGTAATTTTCTTCAGAAAAAAAAAAACAATTGTCTTCTCGTTTACTTGCAATTAATGCATGTAACTTTTCAAAAAAATGTTCTTGGTTCACTGCAGTATCCATCCAATATAAATTAAGGTATCGAATGAAAAAATAAAATTCAAGAAAATGTTGTACAGACCAGCAAACTTTGCATAAGACTGACAAACAGCAGTGTTCAAGAGTATATCAAATAAATATCACTTGATTTCAATCGTGGCAGAACAAAGGTGTGAGATCTGAATTGAGTGTAAAAACAAATTTTTCCCTTCCCTCATAAACTTTTGACATATCTTAACTAAATTTGTCATCCAACCGTTAAAAATAACATCGCTGGAAAGGAAGATCAAATATCACATCAACAGCTATAGAAATTTATAATATTATACGACATAAGTTTACAATTATCTCCAATTTCTTCACTTTATTATGGTCCTGGGAACACCTTTTAACCCTACACCTGCTAAAATAACCTTTACTTCTGACAACAGTCCATCACCTGACTAACTTTCCTAGGCCGAACCTATATAAGACCAATTCCTCCCTCCTCTGGGGAGTCTCTCACGGATCCGTAACATCAAATTTTGCTTTGTTAAGTGTGGTTTGGACATTTTAGACATGAACTTATAAATTTGTGTTTTGACAAAAAGGAAAGGACATTTGATCCTCTGTGGGAATAATCAATAGTTATGATATCAAGTGTGTAAACTCTCTCTCAGCCCCTGTACTTTGTAATCAAGAGATAGTTAAATCTCGAATGATATTTGATTGTCATCATTGTAAACTTTTTTTGTTGTTTCGTTATCCAATAAATTTTTGCCTTTTTATCTGTTAATGGTGTTTTTTATTCGGATATCGCCGACGCCTTACTGACGATCCCTCTCATTCTCCGCCACTCGACCTGACAAACCTTTCCCCACCTCACGGGATTAAAAGAACAAAAATGCCATCCAGTGACAAAGTGTGCAGATTCCACCAAACTGTTGCCAGGAAAAGAGGTATGACCTTGTCCTATTTCTGGCTACCCACAAAGGATTTGGCAACAGACTGTTGCCTCTCTGTCGACATTGGCTTTCTCGGGTGTCGTTTCGACCTCCACCAAAGCTTATCTGTGCTTGTCAAATACACCAGCAATTGTTCGAATGTATAATATAACCAAATATTTAGTCTTTCACCAACGTATTTTGTATGTGTTGACATTCACCGGAGAATATCAACGTTCTCTAATTTCAGTCTTTCACAGCAACACATATATATAAATAAAACTCCAGGGCAGACAGGTTTTTTTTCATTGTTTCAAATCCAAAAATGTCTTCTTTCACACCCATTTTTTGCTAAATTTTGGAAAATGTTTGGCTAAATTCCTGTATTTGTGTTAATTTTTGGAATTTTAGCTGTTTTTTTTAGAAAGTGAAAATTTGACCAGAATTTGCCTATAATTG